AACAGAAAATGACAATCAGCCTCCCTTTCCTTGGCCAATGTGTCTATGTCACTAATTTGCAGCAGTGGTGTGGCTAGATATTCAGACTATTCCTAGGTGCCATAGAGGTTACCAGAATCTAAGCACTGCTCAGTACAAATAAAGTTTTGTCTGATAGTTAAAGATTTGAGGCTGAGAAATTTGGGCACTTGGATGTTCACAGAAAGTGTGTCTGCTTTAAAGGGCTGGCTGGATCCAGAAAACAGCTCCAGTGTAATTAATAGCATTGAGTTTCCTAGTATATATTTCTAGTTTTATTTTGGATTTTGTCTGTGTCAGGTGGCTTTGACCTGGACATTAAAGGCTGGGGTGGTGAAGATGTACATCTGTACCGCAAATACCTTCACAGCAACCTCATCGTGATCCGAACGCCTGTCAGGGGTCTCTTTCATCTGTGGCATGAAAAGCAGTGTCTGGACGAGCTGACCCCAGAGCAGTACAAAATGTGCATGCAGTCCAAGGCCATGAACGAGGCTTCTCATGGCCAGCTCGGGATGCTTGTTTTCAAACAAGAGATTGAGACACATCTGCACAGACAGAAATTGAGTAGTAAGAAGACCTGAAACCAGAAAGGGAGGCCACAAGGCTCTGAATAGGGTGTTTTTTAAAAGAGTTGCTAACCAGAAAAGATGGAATCAGACTGAAAGAGGATGGAAATTTCAGCAGGATGGCAGCAAAAGAAGAAGAGGGGAAAGTTTTTGTCCTCCCTACTTTTGTTTTTATTCTGATGGGGCTTTTAAGTACTCCATTAGCCTGACTTTTCAGCACTTGCTTCTAGGGGAGACTTGAACACTTGATGAGATTCAAGGTCATGTCATGGAGACAATGAATGTTACATAAATGCTGGTATGGTATTCACAATAACAAATGGACGTGCTCCTGCTTTGAAATGTTTGTAAGATGTTATTTAAAGGACTGACCTTTTTGTGGGCCAATAATTAGGAGTTCTTTTCTACATCTCACCTGATATATCTAAAAAGGGCTATTTTTGAATAAGTACAGAGCTCCTGCTCTGAGAAGGACATCTGATTGTTAATGATGGTTAAGCTGGAGTGACCAAAAATCTTTTTCCCTTAAGGGGCTGGGACAGGGTGGGAGTCAGCAGCAGTGCACTAACAAGGCATTCCCAGTTCCTCCAGAGAAAGAGGTTTCTCAGAAATTGCTTTCTAAAAGTCAGAAACAGAAAACTCTACTGATCAAGTGTGATGGTTCCAAAGTACTTGAGGGGAGTGATTGTTCTCCTCTGTGGATGGCGAACCAAAAGCAATGAGCCACATCTGTATCATGTGAATCAGATGGTTTGTTTCTGCTTCAGAATACTGTATGTATCTCAAGATTTATTTTTAAATGAAGTTGGTTTTGCTTGGGAATTATTTTGTCAAACTTCAGGTTTTCTACTTCTAGCCTTACTAAGAAACAGAACAGCCTTCCGACACTTGGAAAACACTCTACAAATCTGTTTTTCCTGTGGATGGGATCTGGGTTCAGATAAGTGAAATGATTTTTCTACACAACCTGGGTACTGGAAGGCAGAAGCTTTATCATGCTGAAGAAAAGGAAATCCATATCAACTTGCAGTACTGATTTAGGAGGCTTTAAACTCTGAATGCCAGATACCAAAATTGATGAACATTTTCTGACTTTATACCAAAGTATTCCTTCTAAACCAAATACAGAGTCTTGCCCAGGACACAGAAAGCTTTTTGTAATTAACGAAATAAATTTTTGTGATGGATTACTGGACCCTGCAAATTCTCTTATGATAATTATAGGTACTAATCCTAAAAATTAGTCATCTTCTTAATAGATTTTTTCAATTGCCTAAAACAGTTGAAAGTCTGAGCTACTGCTCTTATAAAGCATTTTCTTTTAATTCTGATTGCTATTTATCATTTTAATATATACCAGCTAACAAAAAACTGCATAGGCTTGGAAATCCCATTTGCTTACCTAAATGCTGTTTCTCTGAGCAGTCTCTTTGTTTTATAGCTTCAGAATAATACAAGGCAGTCTGAAACAGATTCTAATTTGGTTTTTGGCTTGTAAAAGCTGGGGGAAGAAAATGAAAGATAGCACTGAACAATGAATGAACCACTATTTGATGTGCCACTGTGCAATGGGAAGAGCACTTATGAAACTCTTTTGAAAGCATTGCATGCAGAATCTGCAGATAGAGACCATGCCACTGTAAGTACTTTTCCCCTTAACACATATTTATATGTGTTTGTCTTATTTTGGATGTAAAGGATCTGCCTTGCACTTCCCTTGCAAATCATCAAGGGTCCAAAACACTGCCAAAGTACAAAAAGAATGAAAACTTTGTAGACTCAACCCCAAAATACATCACTTATCATAGAAACTTCAGCAATCACTCAAAGAACTGTTTTGTTCCCAGAACACATGATAAGTTATTTATAAAGAGCTTTGTTTTGATGAAGTAACTTTACAAATATTATGCAGTAGGAGGAGACAGGCATGGCTTGTTGAGTGCATATGAACGTTGCAGTAACTCAGCTCCTCCAAGGCAATGTTCCAACAGTCCCAGTTAACCTGAATTTGAAACTGGGTGTTGTATATTAGGACAGTTTTATAATCATAGCCTGCCTCAAGCCTAGCCTTAACTATTTCTGTGATGGGTTTTCTTCACTGTCTTCCCTGAGGTTTCCCTAATCGCTCAGTAACCTAAAGTAACTTTGAGATTGGCCACACTTGTAGAGAAAGGCTAGGCCAGATGATCTCCAGAGGTCCCTTCAAACCTATAGTAGTTTCCAATTTTAAGCACTGGACACTATTAAATTCAACAATTCATTATTTTGGGTACTTTAGCAAGTGTGTCATCAAGACCCTGTCAGAGTTTCACTAGTTAGGTGAAGCAAGTCATCCTTACTCCACAGACTTATGGGGTGACTAGATTTTGGAGCAATAGATAGCCAATCTTGAGGGCATCTGTATTGGCAAGATAGCTTCCTTTGCAGTCAGTTCAGTGATCTAAACGTGTAGGTAAAAAACTTTATGTTTCTTTCCTCACAGAAGACAAGTGAAGCTGGGAATCTTTGAAAAACTGAGGCATGACTCTCAAACGTGGGATAGATGTGAACATGGATAGTGGTTTTCCCTGGGCTATACTGAGACAACATTTGCAAATAAGTAGTTTAATAAAGTTGCGTGAAGCTACTGGTCCACTGTTCAGCAGGGCAAACCCTGAGGAGTTTTACTGTAGTTCTTAGAGCTAAAATTGATTAAGTTCTGCTGTGTTCATGCCAGATCAGCCTGGACCTTATTTCTGCAAGTTAATACCCTGCCTCTCAAAATGCCTTTTTAGAGTCATTTAGACTTTCTCCTCTGTCTTTACCAGCCCATAGGTATGCAAACACTTCGTGATTTGTCTCCTGCAGGATAACAACTATGGCACATTCTCCACATCAGAACAGATGCTTTTCTCTACGGTCTTTGAAGGACATTTTGTTTTGGCCATATTTTTAAAATAAACAGTTCATAAAGAGGGAAGGAGGGATTTTTCCCCCCTACAAATAATCTAATACCCCTTCTCATGATTGAAGCAGATTATGTTGAAGTTATTTCTTTGATACATATGATATAATGCTCAAGAAGCTCATTAAGTCAATTGAAGTGCCAGAGTGTCATTAGATTCAAAATCTCAGTTTACACTAAGGCTTTATTTCTAGCAAAGTACACCTGCTGTAACTGGAGTGCAGTTTTCCCCTTTCCTTGAATGAAAATTGCCTGTCAGCGTAGTTGTAAATTTTAAGACCAGATGATTATAATTTCTTTTATTCTGTATCCCTCAAAACACAGATCAGTCTAAGACTAAGGTTTTGACTGCTCCTTCAAGTTAAGCAGAATAGCCCTGATCTAACAGAAAAAAGGAAACAGGTAAAAACAGGTAAACAATTGAAACAAGATTGACTATTGTTCACTATTTGAGGATAGTGTCTCTAAAACATTATGTTAACAGATTCACACCACAACCTTCAGCTGTAGAATTTGTCGTGCAACAACATGAGGGAATCTGAGGACTAATTTGTTATGTGATTCTGTCCAGGCTCTCCCCCAGTATTCTGAATGATGTATTTAAAGAGCAGTGTAACAGATAAGGAGAGAGAATATTACATTGAAAGAACAACTTCTATAATGAAGTTTACACCAGATGCATCTGAGTAATCCCGACACAACTTGCGATAAATAACTCCATTTTGGAAAATATCATTCTTTACTGGCAAACACTCTTCTGTAAACTGTATTAATACTGATATGGGTGCTGCTTTTTACATTTTTTATGCTCTGTACCTGCGGTAGTCTTTTATACAAATGCCTCTGTCCCTTCTATCCCTTTCAAAAGGTTAATTCCTCTCAATGCAGAAAGGCCTGTGTAGTATTTAAATACAGGTTAAAAGAGTGGGGATCTATATTCAGAGGCTAGAGGAGTTTAAAAAATGTACTCTTCATGAAAATCCATCATCACAGAGAGCACCTTTCACCGAAAGGCACTCAGGGTTTGCTTGGATGTTCAGTTTGAATGTCCTTCATTTCAAGGACACAGCATTTTACAGAATTAATCTTCACATTATGTAAATTACATATCAAGATCGATTCACCTCTCCAAGTTGTTATGTGCCTTCAGGAAGGTATGATTTCATTCAACTGTAGGTACCAGTCTATTTCCCAGACGGCACACAACCTTGCATTCAAGAACAAAAGGCAGCTTGAATACAGAAGTCCCCGAAAAAATCTGCAAAAACCCACTGAAAATCTGTGGCAGTATCTCCCTGTTCAACTGATTACTTCATCAACTCATTCACTCCATTGTCTGGGATACATCCAGGTGCTTTGCAGCTTGCTGGGCTGATGCATCCTTCAATTCAGTTGATATGACAAACCCACAACAGTACTTATCCTCCTACTGCTTCATTTTGAAGGATATAAAATAGAGGCACTTATGGTTTCAGGTAAGTATCAGCAGCTCTAGTTCCAAGTTCAGTCTTTGTGAATACAAGCATGGGACTGCACACTGAGACTGGGAGGTTCACTCAAAGAGAGAGATGTAGTCTGGCTCTCGGTCCTCTTGGCCACATGGGTAAAGCAGCAGCTCCTTCCCCAAGGAAGTGATGGGTTCATCCTGTTGATATAGGATATGATCAAACACCTGTTTTCAAACAGACCCTACCTGTCACAACCTCACAGGATGGACAGCAATTTCCCTGCCTCTGTTACAGTGTGGCCTCATTCATGCCACTGTGTGATCCAGGTCAGTGCCCTGGGGAACCTGGGGTAGGACCCAAGTGGGTGTCCTCTGTCTTCATAACACAATGTTTGTGCTCAGTGCCATAACTCAGTGACATAACTCAGGCAGTGCTCAGAAAGAGCTGTGCTCATCTTGTAGGAAACTACAGCTTCTATGACATGAAGCGGTGCCCTGCCTAGAAAGTGCTGGAGCAAGGACTGTGCACCGTGCAGGTAAGCAGGACCATGTGATTCTGGCTATGTTTGTGGGAGGGACAAGAATGGATCCTAGAGTGAGCACATACCCTCTGCTCAGGCAAATCCTGTCCTAACCAGAGAATTCCCTGACAGTACAGTGTCTGCTTCCAGTCTTGTCCTCCATCCTAGCAGCAGATGCATGGTGGGGACTTGCCCTCTTTCATGGTCACCCAGTGGGTGATAAGCAGAACCCACTGGGTCACTTTGGCAGAGTGGGTTTAGCCTGCCCATATCTGCTGTAGTGCTGGGGCTCTGTAGGATTCATTGCAGACTGTGGGCATGGTTCTATCTTTGATGCAGCTATGCACAGCCAGGCTTTAAATCCCCTGGCTCTGGAGTCAATAGCTGTGTAGCTCCTGCGTTCAATGATTTCAGCCTGAACTGTGAAAACCATGCAAGAAGCAAGTTCTGGTAGCCCAGGTAGAGTTCCATAGAGCAAATGAACATAGATATTGCCCTCATGTCAAATTTTGTTTGGGCATGTCTGTATTAGGCTAGGCAATTATTTAAAAGAAACAGGGATTTTAAATGAACCTATAAAGCAAAAGTATTGTCTTGTCCCTGGTCAGATCTTACAGTGAAGGAATGAACAATCCATCTGGCTCTCCTTGGAGCCCATGTAGCTGCAGTCAGTGCTGGTAGACACTACTGTTATTGCTGCAAGAATCTGCCAACCTTCTTCCTTCCCTTCTATTTTTTATCTTTGCTCAATATCACACCTTGCCTGCTTTTAGATTGTAAAGATACCTTGTTCCCTTTCATGCTGAAGCTGGAGGCAAGCAGGATTTTCTGCTTACTCAACTTGCCAGAACACCACAACCACAGAAAATACGAAAGAAAGGGGTCTATATGAGTATGCTGTCACCTCTCACCTTAGCAACATTTCTAAGTAGCACGTAAGTAACTTGAGCCCTGTGCAAGGTGTTCTGTGTGCTTGAGAGTGAATGAGTCAGATCTAAGATGTTTGAGATGTGTTAGGCCACCTGAGATGTACCAATCAGGCTGACATACCCTTCTGGAGCAGCACACAGGATACCCAACAGCAGTTAAAATGGGTCTAGTTACCTACTTCAAAATAACTGTGTCTATTCTTTCTTATTTTGAAGTGCCCTGAGGCAATTAAACAGTTAATGAATGCACTGATAGATGTTTTACCTTGTGGTAGTCTACAAGGTCAGCCAGCGTTGAATGTTGCAGCTGGTCCACTCCAAGGAAGCTGTAGGAATCGCTGGAGGCATCAATGAGGAAGTGTTTACATCCTTCCACAGACCGATAGGAGAGCACATAGCCTTTGATTTTCTCACTGACCCGGATCAGAAAACTCCCTGGTACTGTTTTATCTAGAAGCTCCTCCGCTTTCTTAGAGGTTAGGATACCTGTTCAAAATTAAAACACAGAACTGAAGGGAGAAGAGCATTTGAGAACTGGACAGAACAGTTCTCACAAGAAATCTGCTTTACTGCTCTAAACCCAGTCTGTGGCACTCCCATCCCTTGTTTTGTTGCCCAATAGCCCAGGAAGAACCATACTGCCATTGCTAGTAACAGACCATGGCCACAGGCTAATTGCTCTACCTTAACTGCTCCAGACTTGGCCAGCTATGAATGACAAACGCATGGGGCCTGAAAGGACAGATTCTGTGTTATGAGAGAGAACAGCATTGCAGTTTGTTGTACACTGATTCCAGTACAGCAGCAGCTTTACTCCTAGGCCCAGCCTATGTTAGCAGCCATATATCAGCAGAAACAACTCCTTAAACAGTTGGGTTGGGGTGGGAATGCTCAAGACTCACCATGGAACCAAGGTGCTATTGTGTCCGTGGTTTTCAGATAGCCAGCTCGGAGAGGGAACTGCTCTTCTCTGAACCACTTGATGATGCTTTCTTCAGTGGAATTGGAGATTGTCCTCTGGATTCCCTCTTTCCTGTTAGAAAAGACCATGGTTTGTGCATCAAGTTCAAATAGGTTTTGAGTCCTTGCACTGAACTTACCTTTTGCTTAGGATTTTAAGAACATCCATAAACAGGCAGCTTATACTACTGCAGCTGTGTAGAATATGGTTTTTAGTGAACATCTGGCATCACAGAGGCTGTATGCACTTGCACTCCAGGCTTAGGACACTCTACTAAATAAACCTGTTACCCTCCAGTAGTAAACACCTGAAGGCCTCATCACACCCTAGGCTGGAATATAGCCTAGGCTCTGTATTTTTCCCCGTGGGGTGTCTCTTCCACACAAGGAGGAGAGCTAACCATTCCCATCTCAACCATCCCATGCTAGAGTAGAAGAGAAGAATCTCATCCCTTCTCCCCTCCACAGGGCGTAGGGGCTTCCTTACCTAATTGCTCTCCCATTTGCTGTCATAGGAGGTAGAATTTTAGGCTTGGGGGGGAGAGGTGGATACTGGAGTGGTCGCCGATCTCCTGCTATGGCACCCTTGGAAATATCTGCCTGCTTCCCTCTATGGATGCCCTGCAGTGAAAGCCTCCTGTAGTCATCCCTGGCTTGCCGTGCAAGGGAGCGTCTCTTCTCATCTGCCGCCTTGGATTTCCGCACTGGAACAAAAAAGGAGTCCTACATGAGCGAACAAGCAGGCAAGTTTAAAGCTTGCTGCCCTTTGGCCATCTTCCTGCTTGATGAAATGGAAGAATAACCCATTTCACAAGCTGAAAGGTTCACTCAATTGTGAGACCATTTGCCACGTGTCTCCCACGTGTTACATGGCATCTGCCACTTAACAGGGTACAGTGTTTATTCCTTCAAGACACTAAAAATCTGGGGTTTTTATGGATACCAAGTCCCTTTGTACTTAGAGACTTCTTGTTTTGGTTTCAGATGCTGACTCCTCATTCAGATACAGATTTCTGTAATGCCTTTCATGTAAGCAGGTGGGGAACAGGCCATATGGAATTAAAGCTGCTGAAATGACCTCAAATCAAACTTTTGAAGGATTTGAAAGAGCTGATCCATTTTGGAGGGTGGGGGAGAGTCTTGCTGAAATTATTATGGAAAGTGGAGAACTTGGCTGTGTTTTTCTTTCTTTTTTTTTTTTCTGTAAAACTGCCTTGATTGTTTAGGTCCACCTCACCCTGGAGTCTGTAGGAGTAACCAGCTCTCCAGTCAACTTTTTTTTTTTTTTAATCAGTCAGGAAAATAGAACCCCTAGCCTGAAGTGGAAACAACTGGTGGTACAGCATTGCCATCTACTGAGCAGCAGGGAAGGAACTGGGAAAAAAATGCATCAGGTTCTCCCTTGGGAAGTATTTGGCAGCAGTGATGGATGCTGCTGCAAGTCTCTTACTGTTTGCCATTTTCCTTCCTATCATTGGGATTCATTACCTGAGATAGTGCAGCAGGGCTCTGCTTAGATGGGATCATGCCTGGATGACAGGGAAGCTCTTTTTAATCAGTTCTTGTCACCCATTATCCTTGTCCTCAAGAGCAATGGTTACTGCAAAGTCCTACAAAAGGCCAGTTTCTAGTTTAAGATTAATTATCCTCTCTACACTCATGTAGTTCCTTTGTTGCTTGTTTTAACATAGTATCAGTAGAAAAAGTTTTCCATTTCCCTTCCCAGCTCTAGTCTCAAGGCTACGTGGACTCAGAAATATTTCTGATAATGCAGTGCTGTCTTTCTTGGCAATACTCTCCACCCACCGGCCTATTATTCAGTTCTAGTGTGACAGAAGAAGGATTGACATGACCCCACAGAGCTCTAGAATTTCTCAAGTCTCATAGGAAAAAGTTATCCCAAGATCTTACAGAATTCCTGCCATTCAGGCTCATTCTCATCCGATTTCTGCAATGTTCTCTGGCTCTCTGTGCTGGAGTGGCTCTGTGGTATTGCCTCCTGGGAGTCTGTGGTCTCTTCGGAATTTCTCCTCTGTGCTTCCTTTGGCTATGAAAGAAACAGTACATTCAGCTTTGTTGCAGGCAAGTTTTAATCTTGCTTTTTAGCTAGCCTTGAAATACTGGGAACTCCGTTCGGTATTGTGAATCTCTCCAACTTCAACAACATGCAGATCCTCTGTCTTTACTGCAGGTGACAACAGAGGAAGTGAGGGAAAACAGTCTACCAGAAATCATCAGGAGCATCTCCCTGTGCTACTCCCCAGTCTGCCATTCTGGCCTGCTTTGTATCATCACCTAATTGTCACACTGTACATGAGGAGCATGGCAACACTGGTCCAAGAGGTGAGAACATTCTTAGGTCTGATGAGGCTTTGAGGCTGACAGGGACTCTAGGATAAAGCCCGAGCCCCACTCAATGTTTCAGCAGCATCGTAGGTTGCCGCTTACCTTTTGGAAGCTAAGTGTCCTCATATGACAGTCTGCCAGCATCTGGTGAACATCTCTGGTTCCCCTCTAAGCAGAGCAAAAGAGCGGTGAGAAATAAATGCGATATTAGGACAATTGCTCTTCTTTGGAGCAATAGATGTATAATGCAGCAGCAGTCATGACATTTTTTAACAAATTTTGCCAGCCTTCTTTGACAAACTTTGGGTTTTCCATCATATTAGGCCTAACATACCACATGAGGAGAACTCAGGGGTGTCAGGATTGCCATAAGCATGTCTAGATTTGCTAAGCAATGTCCCCAAGTGCTTCCAGGGAGCAGCTTCTTTCCTCCCTCCCCCTAAATCAATCTCTTGCAGAACCTGCCATCCACAACTTTACAAGCCTGTGCTTGTTTGCGGTTGTGGCTGTGGTGTTGCAAACTCCTGTTCAACAGACTGACCCAGCTAGCTGCATATCTCCTGCTTGCTCTCCCCTGCAAACCAGTCTGGCTACCCTGACAGCAGTTTCTAGCTGAGACCTGCCTTTGAAGGTGAACAGTTAGAATTGTCTCTGAGCAAACACCCACCCACCTCTCCATTGGACCTTGACTGCTCCCACAGCACAGTGGGTAATGAGGTAACTGTACTACACTGCTTACCAAGGACACGCTTCTGTCACCTACTTGGCTAATATTTAATATGAACATGGCTTTACAATTTCTCTCTCCTCCAGGAAACTAGGAACTTCAAATGTGTGTGAAGCTGCTCTTTTTCTTAGATCTTTGTCTGTTCCCTGCAACAGACAAAGCACAATGCCTGGATCCCTTACATTAAATGGGAACTAAATATTTTGGAATTAGATTTTTGGTAGTAGCTTGGGGTTTGTTTTTTCTTTCTTTTCTTTTTTTTTTTTTTTTTTTGTCAACTGTGACTAATAACTTCCTATAAAAAAAAATCTCCCACATAGTTGCTCAACTTCAGCAAACAGTGCAGAGAAAAACCTCATGCGACTCAGAGGCTTTTGATAAAGGAGACAGTCACTCCAAATTTCCTTCACTATTTTGGTAGCAGCAGGAAAGCATGTTGCCAAAACCCAACCTTCTGTTATCATGCTTTTTATGCCGAAATATGGTGTGGCTGTATGATAAAAGAATATACATTCATACAAGTTCATTCAAGGCTGAATGAAAACTGCTGAATGAGATTGGACTTCTCTCATTAAATTGGCAGGGTGTTCTGTTCCTTCTGTTCAACTGCAGTTGCATGGGTAGTTAATTTAACTCATCTTTTTCTCAGTTCTCTGCAAATGGCTTTTTGTAGCCAGTTAAAAATTAGAAATGTATTTATTGCTGGAGAAAAATATTTCTGTAATAAAACACCACAGGAAAGCAGACACTGTAGTTACTGCATTTCAAATTGTCCTGTGCTGTCAGGGTCATAAGCTGTTTTCTAACTATTTTAGAAGACCGAAAACCCAAAGAACCACCTAAATATGCATGTCAGATGATGCTGGTAAAATTATCTTCATTTGTTCTTTTACAAAAGTGGATAATTTGTCTAATGGATGTGACCTTACATGTACAGCTCCTGGGATAGCCTGCCTGGTCTTGCCCCAGAAGCCATCCAAACCAGCCACAGTGCAAGAGGGAAAGTACTGCACCCCTCATTTTACTCACAGAGAATGGAAGCAAAGGAATTCAGAGTAACTTATCTGTTGCTACAGAGCAGATCTATCCTACCTGAGAATAGCACATGGACCTCCTGAGTCCCAAGGAAGGATGTAACAGCATGGCTTCTTCTCTGACTACAGAAGAAAAGCCTCAACAGATAGATGGCTTTTTTCTTCAGATTTCTATTTACAGCAACCAGGATTTGCTGCACTTCCTAGTTCTCAAAACATGCGTTTCTGATAGCTTTGGGAAAAGAGGAAAACTACCTTTGTGAGCTCCTGACTTTTCCCGGTTGTTGTATCAGTTGTTTTTGTCCCACGTTCCTCCTTTGTCTGCACAGTGCTTTTTTTATTCTCATGAAGATCTGTCTCACCCAGTAGTCCTGGTTGTGGGTGTAGAGACCATGTTATAGAAGAGTCAGTCTCTCTGAAATGCAAGAGAGAGGATTTAGGAACCTGAGGGAGTTACTTTCTGCTCCCTGGGCATCTTGCAAGGAAGCCGCACGTGAGCAGAGCAGTGCTGCATTGAAGCCATGTGCGTATTGGCATTTATATTTCCAAATCAGGTAGGTGCAGTAATTAATTTAATGACTTGTGGTGAGCAACTGTTGTCAGGCTGCACACCGGCACCTCTCGGTGAATCAGTGCAATCCAAGCTCACCACCTGCCACAATAACAGTGTTGGCATTTCCTGTGGTCTGCAGAGTGTCCCATGCAGGAGCCACATCATGAGAGGCTCAATGAGCCGGAGCAAGTCTCAGGCCGGAGCTGGTCTCTGCCAGCATTGTGTGTCCTCACAGAAAGCCAACCTTTGCCTGTGCCTTTTGCCTGAAGTCCAATATGACAGTGATAACCACAGCCTCTACAGAGAAGACCCCAGCCTCCGGGTCCCTAGAAAAGCCTTCTCCTCCATGTCAGCCCACTCATACCCCCAGCTGAAGCGTGCTTACCTGCCCTCCTTGCCTTGCTCTCTCGCCAAGCACTTTGCTCTTTGCGCCTGGATCTCTTCACAGATGGCTGCATATGGTTTATCTGAAGGATGCTCGCCCATCACCCAGACCCAGACATCATTGTCAGCACCGAGTTTCCATGTCACCGACTTCCCATTGGCTGGAAAAGAAGCAGCTCTTTGGCAAATGCTGTTTGCTGGATAGCAGGGTCTGCGTCCCACCTGCTGTGCCCTACTGGCTGCTGTTGATGACAGAGCCTCTCCAAAAGCAACTGTACGTGGGGAAAGCTCGGCTGGGAGGCAGCCCACACTTTGCATTTTTTTTCATGCTATTGAAGCCAGGTCAGTGAGTCTGAGGGCAAAGGAGAAGGCTCACTACCATTTGTTTTCTTGCTTTAATTCCTGGCCACTGCCCTCCCCAAACTGTGTGAGAGTGAACCACCTGCAAAGAGAGCACTGTGGGGAAGAGCTGGGAGAAGAGTGCTATCTTCCTAGCAGTCAGCATGCTGTGCAATCCTGGCAAGTGGACTTCAGATCTAAAGTCTCAGTGGGAACTGCAGATCTGGTGCCTCAGGACAGATATTCAAATCCCTGGTTATGTTAAAGACAGAGGCCCCATTTAGTGGGAAACTTAATGAGATGCACCTCCTGGGGGCAAATAAGCCCTGTCTTCCCAGTTAGGGGAGCTGAGCAATTTGGTCAAGGACAGAGTGTCTGGGTCAGGGAGTAAAACCATAGTGCGTCTGGCCAAAACTACCCCATTGCAGGTGGGTTTAGTTACTCTAAGGATACATTACCTCCTGTTTCCAGGGAGCAGTTGACTAGGCCAGGTATGTGTCAGACGGTGAAGCAGCCAGGAAGCAAAGACTTACCTTTTCTTGGCAGTGGCTTCTTTGCTGGAGCCTTGTCCACAGCAGCTTCTCTTTCCTCCCACCGTCTGATCTGTTCCTGCCTCATCTTGAAGAAGAGGATCTGCTTCTGCTCCTCGCTGAGTTCTGCCAGCAGGTCAGGATCGATGTACATGTCTGATAATATCTGTTTCAGCATGGCTGCAGGTTTCAGTTACACGTCTGCGGCGGTGATCTCCAGGGATAAGATCCTCTTCCTGGCTCCAACAAGAAAGAGTCCCTGCCCGTCTGAGCCTAGAGTAGGAATGCAGGCACGCCAGAGTAATTATACTTCTATCTTTTTTTTTTTAGCTCAAACTTCCTGCACAGACCAGAAAAGTAAATAAGTATCTTAAAACCTGCTGTTAAGATTCCTTGAAATAGGAGGTAAGCTCAGCTCCCACGCAGTCCTTGCCTGCTCTGCAAGGAGAGCTAGCTAGAAGGGGAGAGTCCAGGAGTGGGGAGGTTGTGTTGATACTCTGATAAACCCAGCTGATAGTATATCAAAGAGAGAGAGCACTGCCTGTTAGTCATCAGAGGTGCGGCTGAGTTGTGCCCAAGTAAACATTCCTGCTGGGCAAGGAATCAATGAACCCATGACTAGACGGCTCCTCCTCCTTCCAAACAGGAAAACTTTGATGATCAAAAGCCCAGCCTGCCTTGTTTTGCCAAAGAAAGATGGGGAGGACTTTTGGCTCTGCTTTTGAAGTGGGAGTGAGAATTTTGGGGTGCTCCCATCCATCAAAGGCAGCCTCCCAGCAAGTCAAGGGAGCACAAGTAGTGCAGCTGGTTTGAAGAAAGACAGTGTGGATGGTCAGTGTCTGAGACAGCTCCCAGTCTGACACATCTTGCTGATGCACCTTGCCCACGTGGTGAGCGTGGCATGGGACATCCCTACCTGACAGGATGAAGTGGATGGAGAGAAGGAGCACTCCTGTTCCTGCCCAGGATGTTGGCTTGTGTATAGTGCACACTGGTGAGGTACTGACACCCGCCCAGCTGTGCTATGTGCTCATGGATTTACATTTACAACAGGGATTTCACTGAAAAAATGGGAGCTCTCCTGGCACTTAGGAACTTAGCAAATGACAAAAAAGAAATGTGGACTAAAGACCTTGAAACCAGTTCTTTTCCTTATCTTATCTGGATAATCTTGAGGAGACCAGGAGATTGGTTGGCAGTGCTTTTGGTGACACAGGGAGGCTGACAGTCATGTGTGAAGTGCAAGACCAGAGCACGGGGGCTGGTTGGCCAGGAGTGGCAGGGGCTTCCTGGACAAATTCTTGAGAAATGCTGTAGTCATCAGGCTACAAGGAGATTAAGCCAGTGGGTTTATTCATGTCCTTCTGCACAAATCTTGGGAGTCTAAGGAACAAGCATGCTAGGACAGAGCACAGTAGGTGGGAGGAAGAGCTGGTGAGGCAGTAATGTGGAGGTACAAAGGGCAGAGACATGGCAGAAGAACCTGTGCCAGGGTGAAGTGGGACTGTATATTAAATTAAGTTAATGAGATCAAATCAATTAGCCATCTTACAGGAGATAGACTGAATCCCTGGGGACCCAAATGTTGGAAGAAAAGTGTTGGGAGCACCTTCAGCTTCAGAGTATGACTGCTTGGTTCCTACCATATAAAATAACAGAGGCAGCAGGGGAGCCAGCAAGCACAATACTGAAGCTTTCCAGGGAGCACACACGGAGCACATTTAATTAGATAAAATGGGTCAGCACAACAGCAGCCTTCATAAAGTCAGACTCTCAGAACAATACATGCTGTGTTGGTCCACCCTCCTCTGTCTCACATCCATGCCGGGATCAGGTAGGCTGTCCCAAACATCCCCCTGCTTCTGAACATGGCTTGCATTAAAACTGCTGAAGACAGAGCTGGCCGGAGTCCCAGTGCATTGTAGTGCCCATGCACTTTCAGCAGGGAGAGCATGAAAGGAGCTTGGAGCAGCTGGAGGAGCTGTAGGCAGGTAGACAAGGAGTTCCCCAAAGAGCTCAAGGCATTGACAGAGCAGATCACAGTCCCAGCATAGCCTTGTCTGCAGCAGAGGCCAGGAGCAGGAGCAAGAGTCCCTGGGAAGGTGCAGTGATCAGGAATTGGGAATGAGCCTTCTATTTCTATTTTGTTTCTCTGATTACTTAATATTTTCCCTATTAAAAATGTTAACTTAATTCCAGAAGGAAGCATGAAGCTAATGTTCCAAAGTTGTATTGATTTGGTTTAAACAAATGGCTTTCTTAATTTAAATAAAACAAAGGCTTTCTGGGGAGGTGGTCTGATATGGGCAATGCTTTCTGAGTACCCCACAATAGCAGAATTATTCCAGATCAGCACGGAAGAGGCTTAGGCTGTCCTTGAGTTATGGGGGTGGCAGCTGTAGAGAGGGAAGAGATTTTTGTGGGGAGGGTGTTGTTGAGCATTTCCTCAACCGTTATTTATGCATCCTTTGTGGATTTGAAACAGTAACAAAGTAGTTTAGCTCTGGCCATCTGAGCTTGATGGCATGGCAGAGATGCCTTCCATGGGCTGACAGAAATTAATCACAATGTCTAAAACTGAAGGGGCTTTTAACAAAAGAGACTTGTTACATGCGGGGAGATGAGATACTTTTATTCCCTTCAGGTGTAGTTCATGAGCTTGAGTCCTGCACCCTGCTCTTTGTACAGCAGTGGGCAGCTTGAATCCACCTCACCATCATGTCAGCCCTCTTCCTCATCCCTTGGCTGCATAGGAGGCATTGAACATGATCCAGAGTGGCTTATGTTGAAGAGTTAAAATTTGCAGTGAGCAAAGCTGTGGTGGTTAAATGGTATTTCTTTCTCCATCTCTCCCAGTGCTGCTTCTTGGTGCCGTAGGTGCTCTTCCTCACTCTGGAGTGTGCTTCTGTCTTTGAAGGTTCCGTCTTGTATCTTCTATATCCAACCTGACTCCTTCTGCCTGACCAGGTTACCTGTTTCTCACAAACCACTTGGGAGACAGAGAGGGTTTATAAGGATTGCAAGTCTTTTCCTCAGTTAAATTAGGCTTCCTGGGACACGACACATGAGAAGCCATCAGCAGAATGCATGCAGCAGCATGTCCCTGCTGCTCTGGCTTCTCAGAAGTGGGAATGGCTTTGCTGCAGCATTTACTTAGTAGGACTTGATGTGCTCTGACATATGCAGTGGTGACAAACTGGTAGTCCCTTTTTCCATGCCTGGGGACACAGTGTGTTGGCAAGATGGAAGGGTGCTCAGGAAACAAGTTTCACAGTACCGATGCAGTTTTGCAGAGTTGGATATCCTTGTAACAAATTGGTTGTAAGACGAAATTTAAAATGCTGTATCCCAAAGGTACCCTTTAAAACACCAGCTGTTTTAACACTGGGAAATGACATGCATCTCAAGAGGTTTGATGAGGTTTTTTAGCAATCACTTCATTAAAGATTTTAGGAGATGGAAGTCCTTGTAATAGCAGTCATTCAAAGTTTGAATCAAACCCATGTTACTGTCACTTGGACAGAAGTGGTTTTGCAGATGCTGTTCCAGCTGCAAGTAGTATATTTACAGCTCAAATTTAGGGAAGCCAAAGATTGCAGTAATGGCAGTGGGAATTCCAAGCAGGTAACTTGTAGGAAAACTCTGGTAGAGGTCTTGTTAAACTTTCTACTACCTGTATTTTTTCATGGGAGTGATAGATGGGAGCTAGTTTTGTGGAGGAATGGGAAATGGGAGTAGCCAAAACCAGCAAAACTTAAGTGGAGGGAGGTGGGAAGCCAAAACAGGGCTTTTGGGGCTATGCCACTTATATATAAGATACTTGACTTGAAAGCCATAAAGGAAGTACAACGCAAAGGTTGAATGACTCTTCAAAAAACAAGGTCACATAGCATTTATGTTTTCTGCTGGAAAGCAGCCTCTTCTCTGTGCTCCTGTAAATCATCTACCATTAACAGGGGAAATAAGTCTATGAATACACATAAAAGCACAACCACCTTTCAGAAGAACTGGTATGAGCTCCTGCTCACGTGTGCAGTGTGTGATACTCAGTCACTGACAGGCTCACTGACACTCCTTTCTGGCATACTAGTCCTGGTCCCCACCATGAATGCTGCCATCTGAGGGGAAGATTCTCCACAAAAACAATAGACAGACAGATAGGCATTTGGTATGATTTTCACCAAGAAATCAAGCAGGAGGGTGTAAAATGAAATAGTGGACAAGCTGAACAGTGGCTCTTGGGCTAATTTTCTGGGAGGCGGCTTCTTCAACCTGCTGCACACATCTCTCCAGTAAATGTGGCAGTAACTGTAAAGTAAGAATAACCCAAGAAACTCAAAGATGAACAGAAAAGAGAACACAGGAAAAGCTGCTTCAGGGTACAGACTGATGAGCTAAGAGGATTTCTATTGTCATAAAGTAGTTTTTCCCATAAAAAAGCAGGTAAGAGCACATTGTTCAGAAAATGGTGGAACTATATTATTTTGAATCAAGAACTTCTCCTTGGAGCTGGTCATCTGCTTAGTGAGAAGTGGCTTCATAGACACCATGGGGAATTCTTTTCCCTAGTCAACAGGCTGAGCCGTGAGAGTGCAACTGAATTTCCTTTCACTTGCCAAACTAAGTCCTGAAGCACTGAAGAGGTATTTTGCTCAGGTTTCATTGGATTTCTCCAGTTCTGGCCACTCCAATGCCATCACTTCCCTGCCAGACTTCAGGAAGCGATTTCTGATTTTTTTTCAGAAGCGAAGAAAAACAGAATTGCCAAACCCACCTGAAATCAGCGCAGCCAAAGGTAACTGCTTCCCAAACCTTGCTCTCAGTGCACAAGTCTTCATGGGTTAACTGTTACATATTGTTCATAAAATGCACTTTTGTCAGAAAATATTTATGTTAGCAGCTGTACCGGCAAGGTTACTACCAAAATATTCTTCTGTGCTTTGGGGTTTGGTTGTTGGTTTATTTGTTTTGTTCTTGTTTGGGTTTTTTTTAATCCTCATCCTGTTCTAAATAGGGGAATGATTCATTCCTATCTTTCTGTTTAATTTCACTTCAGCCTACTGTTTTCTGTTTCAGATGAAAAGAAAGCTAGTTTGTTCATAAGGAAAATATGACTGCATAAGCTTGGCACTCAGAAGACAGAAGTAGACCTGTTTGTATCTTAGAATCGTAGAATTGTAGAATGGTTTGAGTTGGAAGGGACCTTAAAGATCATCTAGTCCCAACCTTCCTGCCATAATCATGGACATTTTCCAAGCCCCATCCAGCCTGGCTTGGAACAATTCCAGGAATGGGGCATCCACAGCTTCTCTGGGCAACATGTTCCAGTGCCTCACCATCCCCACAGGGAAGAATTTCTTCCCAATATGTAATCTACACCTGCCTTCTGTCAGTTTGAAGCCACTCCCCTTTGTCCTGTCACTACGTGCCCTTGTCCAAAGTTTGCCTCCAGCTCCTTGTAGCCCTTTTAGATACTGGATTCTGAGTAAGGCTGGCATATAATGGTTGAAAGAGCAAAACCAATGAAGTCACCACAACATGAACTACCTTGAAATTACCTATAGCTGAACTGACTTGCCCTATAGGCCCCTGATCTTATAGCCTGTGGCAGTGGTTATCTTATAGCAGGTACAAATGGATGGAAATGGCAACAAGGAAAAATAATTTGATATAGCAGCAGCCACTGAACACAGTTTGAGGCTCCAGGGCTTTACTTTCAAGAAAAAAGTTGTCTTCCTGAATAGTGTGCAAACATTTCTTGATCATCTTCCTATATTAAAATTACTGAGGGAATTACCAGTGTGGTGAAAAGGGTGAGGGTTTCTATAGGTTAACACACAGGATCAGAGCCTCAACCAAACTCAGCCACTGTAAGAAAGGAGATTTTTTTTCTAGCCATGACATGTAATTTAATTTACAGTTCTGCGCAGAAAGGGCGATCAGTGGTAAATTCCCAAATCCAGCACCCCGAGACAAAAAAGCAGGCCTACTTATACAGTTACAATCTTAAGCTATTAGCATATCTTACTGAAGTCACTACTTGGCTAAGTTGTTATTGGCTCATCCTTTCTCTGCTTTGAATTAAAGCCATTGTGTCCCAAGAAATCATAGTGCATGCTCAGTGAGTGGTGGTCTTTTTGTGGGCAGGGGGGGCCTGAGCTGGGGTGTGTTTTTACTATTATAAGGAGCAAAAGTTCATCACTAGGGCAAGTTCTCACCACAGAACAGGTCAAAACAGGTTTTCTTCTAGCTCATCATTACACATCCCAGACAAGCAGGATTTTATCTTTGTTTTCCCCCTTCATGAACTTAGGCCATCAATTTCCTGTCTTCCACATTCCCATGGTTATTGCTTCCATTGCTTAACCACTTTATCTTGTTATTTGGAACTTCGCTCCTGTTATTCATCAAGGTGGGAACCAGGATGGAGGCACTTGTGTGGAACCCCTCTGGAGGCTGAGGGTCTGGTTGCATTGGTCCCTGAAGCTTAGTCCATATTTAGATGATGTACAATTATGTCCATTCCTATTCAAGTCATGACAGTGATTGATTTATGGCCCTGTTAAAAAGCCAGGATAATTTGAACAAGCACAAGCTGTAATGAGCTGGAGTGGAAATGAACTGGAGCCACAGACCAACTGGAGAGGGAAACAAACTGGAGCTGCAAATAATCTGGAGCCAAAATGAAGCTGAGGAAGATTAAGCCCAACTGGAGCCTAAAATGTGCTGGAAGCAAGAACAAACCAGACCCATCCACGAGCTGGACCTGAGACAGACTGGGGACAGAAATAAATAACTTGAAGCTGCAAGTGAGCTGGAGCCACAAACAAGCTGGAGCCACCAAGTCACCGCAGCATCTCCGGGCAGGCTGAGCCAGGAGTGGGGCCGTGCAGAGGGCAGGCAGCAGCAGCATCGCCCTCAGTGCAGGCAGCCCGGCTTCTTCCTGGGACATCCACACCCCATGCGGGGCTCTCGGGCACAAGTGGCTCCCGCTGTGGTGGATTCCAGCTCTCCCCATTTCCATCAGAGCCAGCGCAGGGCCGAGGGGTTTGTCCTGCCGGCAGCGGCTCCGGAAGAGCTGCAGAGAAGAAACCAGGTGGGAGCAGGGGGGCCTGTAGCAGGAGGGGTCACCGGCCGCCCCGGGAGACCTCCATCCCCGCTGAGTCCCCATCCCCGCCAGGGGGACATGGCTGGGAGCCAAGGCCAGGAGCCGCCGGCGTGGTGGAGCTGGGACTGATCCCGCGGTGGAAAGCGGAGCATTGCCGGGGACTCCCAGCCCCAGCGGCCGAGCTGCATCTGTTCCCCAGGCCAGCAACCCCAGGCCGGTGCCCAAAACATGCATGCATGCATGCCGGGAAAGCCCCGAGCATGTCCCACCGCCCCGGGCGCGGCGGGGAGGGAGCGAAGCGCCGGCCCCGCACGGTGCCGCCGCCCGGCAGGCGTGGAGCGGCACCGCAGCCCCCGGTACCGGCACCGGTGTGGCCATCGCGATGTCCCTGCACAAGGCGGGGGCTCGGGGGAGGACACGGCCGGGTCAAGAGCGGCCACAAGCCGTGCAGAAGGCAGGGATTGCCGTGGCACCCGCCAGCAAGGAGGACCCTGAGCAAGGTAGCGTCCCCGCTCTGGGAAGGTGCAAGGGAGAGCATTCCAAGAGGGTCCTGTGGTAGCACAACAGCATGGCAGGGGGCTGTGGCTCCCAGCGTGCCAGGTCTGCAGATCAGCTGGAGGAGGTGCTCTGAGCCATGTGCAGCAGGGTTGCATGAGCCTGAGGCTGGCCATCTCCTCCTGGGTGGCGGCACCAGGGGTACATCTGGCAGGCTACAGCGTGGCTGGGGTGGACACCACAGCTGGAATATGGACAACATAGCCTGGATATGGACACTATAGTTGGAATATGGACACCACAGCTGGGATATGGTGCCCCTATACACGCCCTGTGCACAGCAGCAAGACCCCCACTCCTCCCCACCTCCAACCCTCAACCTGTGAATGACCAGCCACAGCCATAAAGAATTTGTCAAAAAACAGCTTTGCCATTGAAGCCACTTGAGGCAGAAAACAAGTATTCCGTGGCTGGAAAGGTCTCATGGAAGAGCCTCTCCCTCCATGTCCCCACAAGACAAGCACCCTTCCATGCTCGCCCTGGCCCCGTGCCCCCGAGCCATGACCCCCCATGCCATCCCAAGCCACATCCACCCCCATGTGCCCCCCAGCCACGTTCACCCCATGCCCAGAGACAAGCGTCACCACCCCCATTTAGACCCTGGCCATTCCCCCCAAAACTGTCCTGTGCCCCCACTTTGAGCCACACCTCCCTGTGCTGTAAGAGTACCAGGGTGGTCACATCAAGAGCCTTCCCACCAACTCATGTCTTATTTAAAGTAGTTCTGCTCTAAGCCAGTTATGGTTTACGTTGGGCAACAGGAGGGTCTTCACCTTAACCCTGGACCCAGGAGTTGGGCACTGTGAGCTGGGCAGCATGGAAGTGTTCGCTGGGCTGGGGACTGTCTTTTGTGTTTTGTTTATTGCTGATTGTTTTCTTACACACTCTGTTAATACAACTCCTTCGGGAGGGGAACAACCCCGGCTCCTGACGTGGGACAGCGGAGGGTGGGCACTCCCCGATCTGGGGCTGCATCGGGGGCCCAGGCTCGGCGATCGGAGCTTCCCTGGGTACTGGGGGCTCCCCCAGGGGCACGGCGGCTGTGGCAGGGGCAAGCGTGCGCCCCCGACCGCTGTCCCTGCTTGTGGGGGCGGCAGGAAGGGGCCCCGCGGGTGTGCCCCGCTAGCCTGGGCCCCAGGCAGGCGGCACGGCAGGGACTCATAGAGCTCTGCCCCGCTCCCGGTGCCGCCTAGGCCACTGGAACACCACGGGGAGGAGGACAGGGGACAGGGGCTGTGGGTCACGGCTACGCCCGGGGCAAGAGCAGAGATGGGTCGGGAGGGGACACCACGGGCTCTCACAGCCAGGACAACGCTACTCGGCAACACTACCACCTGCCATATTGTGCGTCCTCCCTACCCCACCCACCGGCCGCTACCCACCAATCAGCTCTCGCTGCCCTCGGAGTTTTGGCCAATCGTAACCCGCCGTTTGCGCGTCCTCCGCCCTTCCCTCCGGCCACCGCCTGCCGCCCCTTCCGGAAGCACCACCGCTCCTTTCCCGAGCCACCACTGCCCCTTCCGCTGGAGCAGGGGTTGGGCTGGGCTGGGCTGGGCTGGGTCGCAGGGCGCGGTCTCAGCCATGGTCCGGGCGTTCGTGCTGCTGTCGCCGGGGGGGCCGGCCGGGCAGGCTCCCTGCCGCGTGCTGTACGCGCACGCCTTCGGGACCCCTCCCGGGACCCCTCTCGGGGGTCCCCGGCAGCGCCTTCTCCGCAAGGAGCAGCTGCTGGTCGTGGCCAGGTAGCCGGGAGAACCCCCCGCCTCGGGGCGGCGACATCACTCTCCATGGGAACCCCCTTCCTGGGGATGCTGGGCTGGGTGGGACCCCTGTGACCCCCTCCATTCCCTGAAGCCCCTGGAGTTGTGACTCTCCATCCCTTTCCCTGGGACCCCCACAACCATGATGCCTCCTTTTTTTTTTTTGATGTGGGGGCTCCTGGGTTTTGCCGGACCCCCAGGGCTGAGACACCCCTTTGCTGTGGGACACCCTCCCTTTCTGAGGGGAGCCTGTGCTCAGTGGGACCTCCAGAACTGTGGCAGCCCCCTTATGGGGGGGACAGGGCTCAGCGGGAACCCCAGGACCATGATCCCCCCCATTCATCAGATATGCCCTTTTTGGGGATGCTGGGACCCTGTGTCCGCAATAGAGGAGGTCACTCTATCCCTGGATGAGGCAGGAGTCCATAACACAAGGGTCCCCCCTTTCTCTTCCAGACAAGTGGCTTCCCAGTGCCAGCTGCTTCAGTCATCCCTGGGCCGCATGTCCTCCCCACAGCTCCCCCAGCTGCCTGATGAGCCGGTGTCACTCCAAGATGCTCCGGGGGGGCTTTTCCAGATGCCCCCTGGAGACCCCTTCCCTGACCAGGTGACAGTAGTCTGGTTATCAGTGCTGGCCCTCGCCTGTGCTTTGGTTTGTGACTCCCAGGAAAATCTGTCCTTGGCTGAAATCACCCTGCGGCGCCTGGCTCCCCGCCTGCTCATCTCCTTGCGGCTCCTCAGCCCTGGTGCTGATGTCCTGCTCCGTCCGGATGCTGCTGATGCCCTCCTGGATCGTCTCCTGCCCCATGGGCAGATGCTTTTTCTCAATGAACGTTTCCTCCAGGCAGTGGACCGGGAGCTGGGCATCAAAGCATCCCGCTGAGCTACAGATGACATCCTTGCCCACCACCCCTGGATATTTTTCATTGGGGAGAGACAAGGGAAGGATCCGAGATGGTTGCCAACCACCCAGCAGGATGGATGGGAAAAGTAGCTCAGGAATAAAGAGCAACATGCCAGCAAAGAGCGGGATTTTAATCCATTTATCCCCCAACTTTGTTGTGGGAGAGCCAATAGCCATTCCCATATATCCATCTGGAGATGGAACAGTGCCGTGTTCCTGCACTGTTTTCCTGCACTGTATTCTTCCACCGCTCCATGCGCACGTGACAGCGGGCAGTGGCTCCTCATGGCCGTGAATGGACATTAAAAGAGGGATGCCGGGTTACCCCAGCTGGATGTTACAGGGCAGGTGGGGGGTTCCTGGCAGGGGAGACCTGGCTGTAGGCAGTGCAGAACCCCTCTGCTGTGGGATGGGAGCTCACCTCAGGACAGGAGGAACCGTAGGGGTCATGGGGAAGCCGGGGTTGTGCAACCAGCCCTGGTGCATCAGGGTCACTGGGTGGGGGATTTATTTAAAACAGGCAGCGAGGCAGGATGTGGCCGTGCGCCTGACACAGCGGGTTGGTTGTCGCCGGGTGATGCTGCTTGGGAACAGGGGACCTATGTGACACCCTGGGAGGTGGCTGGAGCTAGCATCCACCTGCACAGCTCTTCCAGCTGCCACCAGGGTGCAGTAGGGATCAGGGCTCTATCCTAGCAGTTTCTGAGTGCTAGGAGAGTCAGGGAACCAGGACGTGGCATGCGTGGCTCTGCCTGTAAGACCCTGACCTACTATACAAGCACATAGTAGTGGGTTTTTGAAAAAGGGGTAGGATGAAAAGGAAGAGAGAAAAGAAGAGATGAATTAAAGGGGCAGAGAAAGAAAGAGAGGAAGAAAGAAAGGAAGGAAGAAAGAGAAAGAGAAGAAGGAAGAAAAAAAAGAAAGGAATAAAGAAAGAAAGAAAAAAAGAAAGAAGGAAGGAAGAGAAAGGAAAGAGAGATCACCAGTCCTGTTCCATCCATTCAACTGATGGAATGTCCAGGGTTCCAAGGACACAGCCCAGGCTTGGTGGGGGTACGTTTTTATAGATAGGTTTCCCTGCCCTGAAGACAGATTCCTTGCTTTCTATACAAATTAGTTCTCATGCAGTCTGTTCTTTCACACCCTTCTGGAAATGGGTTGGGGGGAGTTGGGCATCTTGGATGGTCTCGTCCCCCCCCCACCAGATTGACCTTTGGTTGACAGTATGTGCCTGCTTCTGTGCTGATGCTGTCTTATTTTTTTAGTTGTGTCTCTATGGACTAGAACAAGGATGTTTGTCCCAGAAAAGTGCTGCCCTACCTCTGCATGGCCCCTTTATCCGGTCACATCTTGTTCTTCCTTGTGGCATGTTAGTTCCAACAGTCCTTCGTTGGCTCCATGGCCATCCTGCTGTTGGTGTTTGAGATTTACACATGGTCCCCTTTTCTTCTGGGCTTCTACACCACCCTATGGCTCAAACATCAATAGGGTCCTTGAAAAGGTGATCCCTTGAAAAGGGAAAAGAAGGGAAAGAGAGGTAGAGGGAGGGGCAAATGCATTCTGTAAATTATCTCTAAGCTTTGGGATAATCTCTCCATAATTTTCCACACCTTAACGTACAATCCAGTTACCAAAATGAAAAGCAGAAAGGTTAATACTAAAAGAACAATCACAGTGCCACATTTTGTTAAAAATTCACATTGCTGTTGGCGACCATCCAAATGAAATGTCACACCAGAGGTGTTCCCCATCTTTCTTCACCCATTCCATCACCCAGTGGACTTTTTCCACATCTTAGTGAACAGTAATCAAAGTCTTTTGTTCGTTGTCTTGTGCTTGCTTCAACAGTCATCTCAGGTCCTCATGTTGTAGCACCTTTTTTACCAGTGTGAGGTTTATACCAGTGGGAATGGGTTTTAAAGCTAAGATCGAGGTGTAGTTAGATTTCAGCAACTGGTAGGAGTTAATCAGAGCTGAATAATTGAAATCCTACCCCTTGATTTGAACAAATTTACAAATGTTAGAGTGATTTTTTTGTTATTACTACCTGATTATCTGCAATTACGTGGTCATAAGGTGTTCCTAAGCAAACACATCTCCTGCCTGCATGCACATGCATGTTTTCTGAGTTGTAATCTGATCAAATTTCAAAATGGTATATTTTGCTCAGTATCAAGACAAGTGTCTTGAGCCCTTAGTTTATTTTCCTGACAGATAAAACCTTGTTGTTCCTGCACAATGCATGCATCGACTTCTGTAGTTTGCCATTTTGTCCCTTCTTTCTAGGCTCATACCCTATGTTCTGTGGGGTACAGTACAGTTCCATTATAAATTAATCCTAAAGCATGATGGGATATATTTTTTAAACTTTAACATTAAGCACTGTTAACACAAAGGCAGTGACTGTATAATTTTTGAGGTTATAGGTAAAGTTGACTAAATGCCACCAGGACAGGAAGTTTCTTTTAAACTATTTTCCCAAATTTCCTTCCTAATCTCAGTGGGCAAGTTACTGCCTTCACCTTCCCATATGATAGCAGCTGTCATATATTGCATGCACAATTGGGCTTGAATACAACCAAGAGCCAAAGAGACATTGTCTTGGAGTGTTTCAATGGTGTTAGCAATTAATTGTTGATCAGAACCAACTGGAATCTGAATGTATGGGCCATTATTTTGTATGCATTCATAGGATTCCACTTGCTGGATTTCAGTGTCACCTGGTTTATGGCCAGAATTCTCTTGCAAGTCAGCCACTGAATCAGATCTAATGGAGTAATTTTTTGTGTGTGATTTTCTGCTCCACCCTGAGGTCTAGTAGATTCAGGGGGGGTTGAAGGAGATAAAGAATCATCTTTCCCTGGTTCCCTGTCATTGGGATCACCCTATATGTTTACATCCCTTGTAAGTCTGATGTACTTTTCCTGGAACTTTGATATCTCAGTCGCGGTATATAGCTCCATTTTGGTAGCAGTTTGCTGACCCTGACCATCATCTGTGGTTTCAGTTTTAATTAAGGGTCATAATGTTAATTCCTCATCATCAGATGACAAATGCTACGTCTCACTTCTTGTCAGGGTAATAAATGCATTTACTGTCTTCCAACTCCTTCATTGGATATAAAAAGTCAGAGTTGTGCGATCATATTTTTCAGATGGCACAGATTCTAAATCCTGCACTGGTGCCCCCTTTCCCACAGTTCCTGCTGACCTGGCCTGGGCCAGGCACCACTTCCCTTCTGCTTCTCCTCGATCTCCTGCAGCAGGAGCAGCACCCGCTCCACCGTGCCAGGTCCCAGCACTGTACAGCCTGGATCACATCACCCAGGATGGAGAAGTTCAGTGTACTCAGCACCTTCCTAAAAGAGGCCAGGAGGGCAAGGAGGGAGGCACTCCTCTGCCTGCAGCACCCTCGGCCAGGTTCCAGCCAGTCTGGTCCACAGCCAGGACAAGCAGGGGCAACACAGTGCTCACAGGGCAGGGAGGGAGGGAGGCAGAGCCCACCCCAAAACTGCCCCACACCCTGGCTGCTGGCCTTTTGAACCTGCTTCCCATCCTCCATGCTCCTTAGCCGAGCCAGCTTTCGTTAACCATTACCGCTTGGGCGGGGTGGGAGGGTGGAGGTGCCAAGGCTCCTGGGGACCAGAGGCCTCAGAATCTTGATAGGTACAGCTGCAGCAGGAATAGGGTGGCAGAGGTGTCTCTGCAGCTGTAGAACCCTGTGGCACCTATTAAAGGGGCTGAAGCTGGGGGAGAAACACAGACAAGTGGGAGGAGAGGTGATGGTGGGCTCTGTTCCTTACCCCTCACGGCTTGGGCTTAGTGCATGGCTGGCACCACAGATGTCAAGGTGGCATCCTGCTGGGGAATGGGCCATGCCCCTGGCTCTGGCACTGGCATTGGCAACACCTCTGCCACATGTGATCCAGGCTAAACTTTGCCTGGTGGGGCACTGCCCTGGGCACAGTGCTGCCACGGGATCCAGCTAGTCCCAAGGTTGTGGAGGCTGCCAGCAGGGAGGACAGCCAGCACAGTGAGGATCCACCACCAGCCATGGAGCAGGAAAGTGTCAGGGAGGAGCTGGGCAGCCTCCACGGTATCCCCCTCTACAAGATGTTCATTGAGGGCTGGCCACAGGTGAAGGATTTCCAAGCCCATCCAGATGACCTGCTCATCTCCACCTACCCCAAATCAGGTGAGTGGCCCTGGGGAAGGGTGAAGGGAGGATGAGTTGACACCAGCCTTTGCAATGCTGTCCCTGTGCTGCAGGCACAACGTGGCTGAGCGAGATCATGGACATGATCTACCAAGATGGCGATGTGGAGAAATGCCGACGGGATGCCATCTACAACCATGTGCCCTTCCTGGAAATGAAGGACCCTGGGATACCGAGTGGTGAGCTTCCCCAGCCTGGCTCCCTGCGTGGGGAGGGAGCAGAACTGGGGTCGGGCTGAGCATGCTGGGGCTCACACCTCTAAGCCCCCTGTGCCACAGGCGTTGAGCAGCTGGAGAACACCCTATCCCCATGGCTCGTAATGACCCATCTCCCAGTCCAGCTCCTCCCACAGTCCTTCTGGGAGAAGGACTGCAAGGTAATGCTGCAGGTGCCCCTGCCTCTCTCCCCATCTGGGTTGGCAGGGAGGAGGCACTATTCTATCTTCCAGCCACATCCTTGTCTGTCTCCAGACTATCTACATGGCCTGCAACCCCAAGAATGTTATCATCTCCTCCTACTACTTCTACCAGATGGCCAAGTTACACCCTGACGCTGGCACACTGGCTGAGTTCCTGGAGACCTTCCTGGCTGGCAAAGGTGAGGGCTGAGCCACTGGATGCCCACCCTGAAATGCTGGTGGGAAGGACATCCCCTGCTGCCCTGCTTTTTAGCTAATCCCTTGACCATATTCCACAGTGGCCTACAGGTCCTGGTATGACCATGTGCGGGGCTGGTGGGAGAAAAGGAAGGAGAAGAAGATCCTGTAGCTCTTCTATGAGGACATGAAAAAGGTGAGGGTGGGATGAGGGGCAAGGTGCCCTGGTTGCCCCCCCCCTTAGCGTTTTTGGCAGCCTCCTCATGTCAACTGCCCTGCAGGACCCACATCAGAAAGTGAAGAAGATCCTGCAGTTCCTGGGCAAGGAGGTGGTGGAGGGAACAGTGGAGAGGATCCTTCACAACACTACCTTCCAGGCGATGAAGAAGAACCCTGCTGCCAACTATGAGACCATGCCCACTGCCCTGATGGACCACAACCTCTCCCCCTTCCTCCATAAAGGTGGGATTTGGCCAGTGGTGGAGGGCTTGGGAGGAATGTCCCTGCATTGTATTTCAGCCACCATCCGTGGCTGCAAATATTTTGTGTGTCTTGAGATTTGCCCCACTTGTTTTCTTGCCCCCAGGGATCTTTGGAGACTGGAAGAACCACTTCACTGTGGCCCAGAATGAGCACTTCGACCGGCACTACCATGGCAGGCTCCAACCTCCACTTCCAGATGGAGATGTGAGGGGCTCATCCCCCTTTCCAGGAGGACTCTGCTTCTCCTTGCTCCCCCAGTGTGGAGAGTGGGTCCAGGTGGAGCATCCTTGCACTGATTTACTTTTCCCCTTGCAATAAATTGTGATAAATGGAGAGTGAGTCATTGCCTGCAGAAAAAGGCAGGGGAGGAGGCTGAACCCCCCCAAATTCCAAGCAGTGTCTGGGAGAACCTCCATGATCAGCAGTAGAGAAGGTGGGCACACACAGTGGATTTTTGCCTGGTGATGGTCAGGCATCACTGGGAATATGCATCCTCCCAAAACCCACCACTGGCCCCTGTCAGCTTGGGTGTCCCAGACCCAGCCTACCAAGGTGCCTAGAGGGAGCATAGATCGGTGAAGAGTGGAAAAACCCCAAACCACCAGCAAACCTGCTGCTGCCATGGCTTTTGTGTGCACAGGAGCTTTCATGGCTCCAGGTTGTGGCAAGTTTCTTGACAGAGTGGGTGGTGGTGAGGCTCTCCCCAGGCTCCCTGACACAGCTGGAGCTTGGCAGCCCATAGTTTATGGAACAAAGGTGAAGGGAAACACCTCCCTGCTGGCATATGGCCGGGCTCAGCAACATCACCATCCTTGCTGGATAGGGAACCCACCCTGTAACCTCCAACCTGATTGCACTGAGACCTTGCTCCGGGATGGCCAGAGCAAACCACTCCCTGTCCCCCTGGGGCAAGGGTGTGCTTTGGAGCCCCAAGTGCCCCACTTACACTCCATTTCTGGCCTGTTCCAGAGTTTCTAAGATTGCAGCTTTTTGGCAATACAGCCTCACAGGGTTGTTTTATCCCCAAAGAGAAGCAACTAGGATCCGACTCCTATAGAGCAGCAGTGCTGTGAGGAGACCTGCCAATGGAGATCTCTGTGCTTCCCCACCTCTTGGCTTTGCCTGTGGAGTTTGCACACGCAACCAGTTTTGCTGATATATGGACAGACGGACGAGGCATGTCCCTGCCTGCAAAACACCTGAACGTCTGGCATGGCATGTCCCACCTCACCTGGAACTTGGCCCTGGGTCCAAATCAGGGACTTCTATCAAGGTTACAAACAAGTGAGCTGCTGCCCCTGCCCAGCTGCCACCTTTCCTACCCTTACCACTCTCTCCTGGCTCGCGGGTCGCCTGTGGGAAGCAGGTAAGGAGGAGCATTTCACCACCACCGGTACCTTTAAACACCTTTCCCAGGAGCACTTGTGCTTTACAATCCTGCAAACTTTGGACCCGTGTTTGCATGGAGCGGGGATATGACCAAAGCCTGATCTCCACATCCCACTAGCAAGCCCCACGTCTGTGTGAGGAATTGGGGACGTCCACTCAGGTGACTCCTGGATCAGGACAGGGTGACGTTAAATTCCCCGGGCTGGAATTTCCTCCCTTTGTTTGCCTCTGCGAGTGGAGGGGGCAGCTGTGATTTCCACTCCCGCCACCTGTGTGCGTACCGGGGGTTGCTGAGCACGGCACAGCTCATCGCAGGCATCTGGGTACAGTCCCTACCCCCGCTCGCCCCTTCCCTGCCCTCCTGCTGCCCCAGCACTGTCCCCCCGCCTCCCTGAGCCTCCATCTTCCACGAAGGGAAGGGAAAACAGCAAATCCCGCCCCGTAAGCGGCGGGCGAAGCTTTGCCTCCTCCCTGCCAGAGGACCCGGAGAAGAGGTAATGGGGGGACTCTGGCCACAGTCAGGGGGATCGGCCCATTTCAGGGTGCCCTGGCCTCACAAGCAGAGAGCCTGCGTGGGGGGGGTGCGGGGACTCAGAGAGGATCAGTGTCCCTGCAAACCCTTGGAAGATGGAAGCAAGCGACCAAGCCTCCCTCCAAAAGTCACAGTGTGGGTGTTTCGCAGCTCCCATATCCAGCATTTCTATCCTGGCTGGTGGGTAAAAAGGTTTCCTGGGGAGAGAGTTCTGGGAGCCCTGCTCCTCATTCCTGTCTCCTTCAAACCCTCACTCATCCCCCTGCAAGAAGGACTTCCCCAAGCTGCCGTACAGCTGAGAGGTGGGGAGAAAAAGGCAGAGGGAAAGCAGCCTGAAACCCCAGCCAGGAAAGCCCCTGTGAGCTTTTACACCCAGGTAAAAGTACCAGCTTGGTACAGGTAGCTGCCCCACTTCCTGCACTGACCTGAGCCCCACAGAGCCAGCCATGCCCCACACTCCGTGCACCACCAGCTGGCCCCACAAATCCCCTCAGAAGACAGATGCCACCTCCCATGACAACAACAAGCAGGGGACAGTTTCCTTCCTGTGGGCAGGATGGCTGGGTTCAGCAGGCATTTTGGGGACTCCAGGGAAAGAGGTGGCCCCATGATGCTCCTTGCTGCCAGCCAGCCCTGCCATGTGTCCATGTCCCCAGAAGAATGGCCAATCCAGACTCCTATCTGCGTCAGCCCTGGCGCACAGTGCATGGCATTCCCATGGTCAACGCCTTCGCCCTCAACTGGGAGCGGATTGACAGCTTCCAGAGTCGCCCTGAGGACATTGTGGTGGTCAGCTTCCCCAAGTCTGGTGAGTGTCCCCAGGCAACAGAGAGGGGCCACACTTGGGAAGGGAGGAACCAACCTGGAGGAGCTGGGACTGGAGGGGATGCTAAAAGGCAACGCTGGTAGATGGTGGCCCTTGGGTGCCTAAGATGGGGCTCTGGTGGGAGTGGCATCAGCTGGACATGCAGCCTCTCCTCGCCAGGCACCACCTGGGTCAGCGAGATTGTGGATGTGGTCCTGAAAGATGGTGACCCCAAAAAATGCAAGGAGGATAACATCATCAACCGGGTGCCCATGATGGAGTTTGCTGCCCCTGGGAAGATGCCAGCAGGTAACAGGGTGGCAGTGGGTGGTGGATGGGGGACACGCTTGGTTTTGTATGGGAGGGTACCCCACTGGCAGTGGGATTGCTCGTGGGGGAAATCCTTGCAGGCACGGACCAGCTGGAGGTTATGGCATCCCCTCGCATCATCAAGACCCACATCCCAGCTCACATCTTGCCCAAAACCTTCTGGGAAAACCGCTGCAAGGTAACAGGCTGGAGTTACCACACCTGGAGGAATCCAGCAGAGATAAGGGGGGTACCTGTCCTGTTGGGACCTTGCAAGTCCCCACATGCCACCAAGCTTTCTGCAGATGATCTATGTGGGGCGCAATGCCAAGGATGTGGCCGTTTCCTACTACCACTTTGACCTTATGAACAAGTTCCACCCTCATCCCGGGACATGGGCCCAGTACCTGGAGGAGTTCATGGCCGGCAGAGGTGGGACAGGGCACCCCGGGTGCATGTGGAGACTCTGTGGGGTGCTGTCACCAACTGACATCCCCTGGCTGCTCTCCCCATGCAGTGGCATATGGCTCCTGGTACAACCATGTCAAGGGCTACTGGGAGCGGAGGAAGGATCACCCCATTCTCTACCTCTTCTATGAGGACTTGAAGGAGGTGATGGACCGGGGTGGGTGGTGGTGTGGCATCTGGGGGGGTGGCAGGAGGGGTGAACATCAGCCTGTGTCCCACAGGACCTCCGCCGGGAGATTGTCAAGGTGGCCCAGTTCCTGGGGAAGAAGCTGTCGGAGGCGGCACTGGATGCCGTCACCCGACACACTTCCTTCGAGGCCATGCGGGACAACCCCACCACCAACTACAGCAAGCTGCCCTCTGACATCATGGACCACAGTGTGTCCCCCTTCATGCGCAAAGGTGAGCAGCTCTGGGGGGCTGCAGGTGCCCTGTCCCCCCGTCCCCTGCTGAGCCCCATCTCACCCCGCCTCAGGCACCACCGGAGACTGGAAGAACCACTTCACCGTGGCCCAGAACGAGCGCTTTGACCAGGACTATGCGCAGAAGATGTCGGGCACCGACCTGCGCTTCCGCACTGAGATCTGAGGAGACACCGCTAGACACCCCCC